CTTATTTTAAATTTTAGGATTGTTACTTTCAAGTTGCCAACTTCTAGCATTAATTTCTCATTCATCCGGAAATGATTTTGGGATATTAAATATATCTCGAATATCTACTCACGGAGTAGAAGGCGTTTGACCATTGACCCGCACAAAACGGATACCGGGTCCTATTGGTCAAATTTGACCCATTTCCAACATTAATTTCATTATTATTGATTATAGCAGAAGAATCAATCGAAGTTTTGCCAGTAGGTATGGGCAAATTGCTTAACCATGTTTATTTATTTTATTATTAATTATGTTAGAACTGATTGAATAATACTATTTTATTTACACAAAGAAAAAAGGTATAAATTTGCGTTAATTGGTTAGTCCATTTTTCTAACAATTATAAATTAACTAAATGCAATGCAAGTTTGCCCAATTCTTTTCACTGAAAAAGAAATAAGAGAATGAAGTGAGCTAAAATAAAATGTATACATAGTTTTCATAGAAAAGGAGAGAAATGATTGAAATGTTGTAGTTGGCACTGTATTATTATGATCTGGCATGGGACACTGAAACAAAAGCGAATCAACGAGGTTGTTACCCAACTTTTATGTCCAATTCTATCAACGTGGCCCAATGTCTGTATGGTGGTTAAGATGTCACGCATTTCATTTATCTCAAATATACTAATTCTTCATTTGAGTTATATAATTTAAATTTTATTTTCAACAATAAAATCTCTCTATTTAATATATAAACTTAAAATTTTCCTTCCTCTTTAATTACATATATTCCCCCCAAAAAAATCACTTTTTTTTTCATAAAAGATATTCTAAAAATGGGGCTCAATGGGGCTAAATATTATTTTGAATACAATTTAGAGTCTGTTTGAACCTATTTTTTTAAATAAAAAATGCATTTTAAAATTATATTTTGATTGAGAATGTGTGCTTAAAAATATGAAAAAAAAAAAAAAAAAGGTACTAAAGAATGTTTTATTCAAAATAAGAGAGGGTGAAAAATGAATTTCAAAAAATAATAGGGACCAAAAGGGTTTAATCTTTATTTTTCATTGGGTAGGAAATACAATTGTGAAATTTCATTTTGATCACTCATCTTTATTTTGTTTCATCTCAGTTACAGGTATTATATGTTTATTTGAAATTATGTCACTTCAGTCCATATTTGTCTCACTTTAAAATTAAATTCTTTAATTATAATACTCATTTTCAAACACATATTTAAACTATACAATATTTTGCATGTAAATTTAAAAAAAAAAAATTCTTACTTTTTAACCACATACTTTTCAAAAAATCACTGTTTAAATATCTTTTTTTTTTCTTTTTTTTAAGTAATAGTCATAAAAATGGGACTGACATCACTTCCATTCAAAAAGTTTATGGGTGAATCCAATGTAATTGATGGTAAATGTGACATGGCATAATTTTATGGGGAAATTGCAGCCACGGTACCAAACTTTTTAGATTTTTGCAGATTTTGTCCAAACTTTTGTTTTGTGTCACCCACGATACCAAACCTTTAAAACACTCGCAGCTACAGTCCAAATGGATGGTTTCTGTCCAACTGACCGTTAGTTGACAAAAAATTAAAAATCTGACCAATTGTTGATTAATTTTTAAAGGGCAAAATGGTAAATTTTCATTTTTTTCATATAAAAAAACTAAAATAAAATAATAAAATAAAAAAAACTCTATCACCCCACTCCATCTCATCCTACCCCATCTCACCCCACCCAACCCAAAACCAAAATCGCGGCACCACCACACCCACCTCCGCCACCAATCTCCACCAAACCCATCGGGAAAATAGCCACCGAGTTGATTATGAGACAGATCAAGGACACAAAATTTTGATCCATCCATTCGAGGTGAGAAATTAATATTTCCAGCAAGTTTATTATTCTGTAGATGAAGCTCTTGGAGTGTCGATGATGTTAAAAGGGAAGTTAGAAGATGACCCTCCAAATGATTGAAATTGACATCAAGGACCTTGAGTTTCGGAAACAGAGTGATAACTTTTGGAAGGGAACCATTCAAGGCATTACGAAATAGATTGAAATAGTTCAAACACTTACCTCTCTTCCCACTCTCACCAATTTCCCCCAAAACGCCACCAACACAATCAAACCAAAATAAACCCACCCAAATCCAGTGAGCTCAAATCAAAATTGGTGACTCAAAAGACTTCACAGTCAAATCAAAAGCCATCCCTTTGATTCATTGAAAATGGTCATTTGCTTATTTGGTTATTGATTTTTTCTTTCGAGAATGAAATTGGATTGATTTGTTTATTGTTGTTGTGGATTGATTGATGAAGGGTGTGCCTAAGAAAGGGTGCACTTGATCGGTGATTTAGTGGTGAAATGGGTTCGAGAGGTGAAGAAGGAGATGGTGTCGTCGTGGGAGATGCGACGACGTGTTGGTGGTTGCACTGGCTAGGTGGGGCGAGATAGGGTTGGTTGAAGAAGGAGATGAACAATATTATTTTCTTTTAATCATTACTTCAATTATTTTATGGGGATAAATAGGGAAGTTACCGTTTTGCCCTTTTAAAATTTTGTCAGATTTTTAATTTTTGATCAACTAGATGGAAACCGTCAATTTGGACTGTAGGTGCGAGTTTTTTAAAGATTTGGTATCGTGGGTGGCACAAAATAAAGGTTTGAGCAAAGTCTTTAAAAATCCGAAAGGATTGATACCGTGGCTACAATTTTCCCTAATTTTATTGCTAAGTCAATAGATTGACATGCTATATAGAATCGTATCTCATGCGTTAAAATGATTCTTTTCAATATAGGATTCTTATGTGGTTAAACTAGTGATTAACGGTGAAAATGTGACACGAATTTTCTACAATTGGTCGCGTTGATTTTACTAACTTGAAAGATGTATATTTAGAAACTAACTTGAAATAGAATAATAACACTACCAAAACAAAGCTTCGAAAAAGAGATGACTAAATTGGATTCAGATCTCATTGTGTTCGATCCTCTTTAAATTTCAATTAATGTTAAGAACTAGCCCATTTTATTATAATTCTTTAAAATCTTGAAATCGATTGGTCAATCCCTATGGATTATCACAATCAAGATTTAACAAGACAAACCCAAGCTTTTTGAAATGTAATTAAGTTTATACAAATTTAAATATTAATGATTCATTTGATTTGCTACTTTCAAACTGTTTATAGTTTTTAGGTTTGCAAAACACTAAAAACATATTTGATCTGTTATTTCTGAAAATATATTTTAAAAAAGAAGGATAAATTTATAATATTAAAATCAAAACTCTTTTTTGATATTTTGAGTACTTTCAGTGAAAATTCTAAAAACATTAAGAGACTGTATGGTACCGATTAAAATCCAATTAAAATTGAAAATATAGCAGTTATTGGGCCCCACTTGTCTAATAAAAGTCAACAATAACGGCTAGTTTTTCAATTTTAATCTGATTTTAATCGTGTTTAAAAATATATTTAAATAAAAACAGATAAAAATATTCTCAATCCATGTAATTACTTTTATTTTTATTTCCTATATTTTGCATTCAATTTATTATTTGTTTTTATTTTACTTTTGTATTGAGAAAAATATTGTATGATTCATCACTTTTAAAATGTATATATTATTTGATAATATAATAACATAAAATTACTTTATTCTTACTGAATAAAAAAATTATGAAATAAATTGTCATAAAATAATTTTTCAAAATTTCAACGTAAACGTGTTTTCTAATTTTTTATTTTACAAAATAATTTTTCAAAATGACAAATCAAACACGATTTTAGTAATTTTAAAACATATACTTAAAATAGAAAACTGAAAACCAACTTGAGTTAAAAAAGGCATATGAGAAATTAATTGCTATATATTTGTAAAGAATTTTGATATAATGCGTTTGACCAAGTTCAACTTCTCCGACTGGGTCACCCACTCTTCCATACCCAATCCCCATTGGCTCAAGAATGATCACCTTTAACTTCTTCAGTGTAAACAAGAAAAAATTTATTCTGTACAACAAATACAAAATCCTCAAAACCACCATAATTCACCAAATTCCATGATCTTCTGCAAAACCCGCTTCAAATTTAGTCAACTTGAGCCTTGGTTCTTGAAATTTTAGAGTTTTTTTTAGTTGTGGGAATCTGCTGTTATTAATGGCGGACTTGGTGAAGCAGATCTTGGCGAAACCGATCCAGTTAGCTGACCAGGTGATAAAGGCGGTAGATGAGGCTGCTTCATTCAAGCAAGAATGCGCCGAACTCAAGACCAAGACTGACAAGCTCGCCGGGCTGCTACGCCAGGCTGCACGCGCTAGCAACGATCTCTACGAGCGCCCCACGCGCCGCATTCTTGATGATACTGAACAGGTCTTGGACAAGGCGTTGGCCCTTGTCCTCAAGTGCAGAGGCAACGGCCTTGTCAAGCGAGTTTTCACCATCATTCCCGCGGCAGCGTTTCGCAAAATGTCGTCACAACTGGAAAATTCTATCGGGGACGTGTCGTGGCTTCTACGTGTTTCGGCTTCGGCCGGGGACCGCGATGATGGCTACCTTGGGCTCCCTCCAATCGCCGCCAACGAGCCCATTTTGTGTCTTATTTGGGAGCAGATCGCGATTTTGTATACTGGGTCGCTGGAAGATCGATCCGATGCGGCAGCCTCACTGGTATCCCTGGCTCGGGACAACGATCGGTACGGAAAGTTAATTATTGAGGAAGGCGGGGTGGGTCCTCTGTTGAAGTTGGTGAAGGAAGGGAAATTGGAGGGTCAGGAGAATGCTGCGAGTGCAATTGGGCTTCTGGGACGAGATCCCGAAAGCATTGAACATCTGATTCACGCCGGCGCGGGCTCAGTGTTTGCAAAAATCCTTAAAGAAGGTTCAATGAAGGTACAAGCAGTGGTGGCTTGGGCAGTGTCTGAACTTGTTGCTCATTACCCCAAATGCCAAGATCTGTTCGTTCAGCATAACATAATACGATTGCTCGTTGGGCATCTGGCTTTCGAGACCGTGCAGGAGCATAGCAAGTACGCTGTTGTTAGCAAAGCAACTTCAATGCACCAAGCTGTTGTTTTGGCAAGTAATAATAACGCCAACGCCAATGTGAATATCAGTGCGAATAAGGGGAATGATTTAGACGATTGTAGGAGTCAGATACCACATCCATTAGGCAATAAGCAGCCGCTTAATCGGATGCACACTGTTGTTACCAATAGCATGGCATTGAAGGGACAAACCAACGGACTAAACCAGGATAATGTTGCGAAAAGCAATGGCACCAATGGCGGCGCAACGCTAAATTCTATTAGCAACCATCACCACCATCAGCAAAGTCTTTCGCTATCTTGGGCGAGTAATAAAGCTCGTGAAATGGAGGACCCTGCAACCAAGGCCTATATGAAGGCAATGGCTGCAAGAGCCCTTTGGCACCTCGCAAAAGGAAATTCGCCCATTTGCAAAAGCATCACTGAATCAAGAGCCTTATTGTGCTTTGCTGTCCTTCTGGAGAAAGGATCAAAAGATGTTCAGTACAATTCTGCTATGGCATTGATGGAAATCACAGCAGTAGCAGAAGAAGATGCTGATTTAAGAAGATCGGCATTCAAGCCTAATTCACCTGCCTGCAAAGCTGTTGTAGATCAGATACTGAGAATCATTGAAATAGGTTATTCGGAACTGCTTGTTCCATGTATTAAGGCTATTGGGAATTTGGCTAGGACTTTCAGGGCAACAGAAACAAGGATTATAAGCCCATTAGTAAAGTTGCTCGATGAACAAGAGCCCGAAGTTTTTAGAGAAGCTTGCATTGGGCTCACAAAGTTTGCTTGCACCGATAACTATCTGCACCTAGATCACTCGAAGTCGATCATAAGTGCTGGAGGGGTAAAGCACCTAGTTCAGCTAGTATACTTTGGGGAACAAAGTGTTCAAGGTTGTGCATTGATCCTGCTATGTTACATTGCTCTGAATGTGCCAGACAGTGAAGAACTTGCTCAAGCCGAGGTACTAACTGTACTCGAATGGGCATCAAAGCAAGCCTCATTGATCCAAGATGAAAATGTTGAAAAATTGTTGCCAGAGGCCAAAGGAAAGTTGGAGCTCTATCAATCAAGAGGATCTAGGGGGTTCCGTTAAATATTGTTCTTATTTTTCTGCTAAATTACTTTTAAATAGTTGGTTTTCACAATTGATAATGCTATGCCTTGAACTGCTTGACCATCTCTCCCATGTAATGATTATGAACCATGAACCAAAAACCAGGTGAAAAGAGAGTTAGTATTTATATTCCATTATTTTAGATTATTGGGATAAGTGCATAGGATTTTTACTGGAAGACAATGTATTCACATCAGATAGTGACTTGGAAGGAATTTCGAGCTTCAACAGCAATTCCTTGTTGTGGGGATGATTTGTACAGTGGGCAGGACTGCAAGAGAATGCTCTTCCGAGTACTGACGCGGGGTACTAAGTCAGCAATGCATTTGATTTAAAAAATGTCAGCAATGCATTTGATTTAAAAAATGTTTTTGCTTTGCTTTCTTCCCCCTACCCCTACTTCACTTCATAGGGTTCGTTTGATTGTAATGGCGAAAAATGAGTGGAAAGAAAATGAATTTCAGGGAAATTAATTGTCTAGGAATTGTTTTATAGGGAATTGTTAATTAAGGGTACGTTTGTCTCCCATTATTTTGAGAAAAATATATTAATGAATAGTGTTTTTTAGAGAACGTGTGGTTAAAATTTAAAGTAAATTTATTGGTTTGTGTGTAGAATATTTTATTGGGTGAATGTGTGATGGAGAATCTTACTGTAACAAACAATTTTTTGGAATAATGGTAAACAAACAGGGGTTAAGTGTGTTTGATTGGTATAATTTTTCACCCGAAAAATTTTTAAATTTTGGATCTTTTTGTATTCGTTTCGCTTTGTTTTATATGAAACATGTCCATTAAAAAAGTTTAGTGTTTTCATTGTAAAAAAGTAAAAAAAAAAAAAATTTAAAAATTTAAAAAATTTCCTAAAAAAATCATTTTTTTTTATCAAAGTTTAGCGTTCGTTTGTCTTTGTTTTACAAGGAAATTGTCCATTAAAGAGAATTTTTGTTTACAGCTGATTATGAAATTTGTTTCCATTGAAAAAAAAAAAAAAAAGGCACCAACATTTGGAAAAGTTTTTCCCACAAATCAGACGCGTGGAGAGGTAAAGTGGAAAAAATTTTGTCTAGAAAAAAATGTCAATCAAATAAGTCAAATGGGTGATTTTCCATTTTCATGGAAAATTTAAGTCATCAAACTGGGCTTACAAGTTTTTCACTTTTTCCCATTTTGTCGTGGTCCCATTCCCCCACCCTAAACACTTCAATAAAAATAACTTTTCAACCACCCTAAATCTCACAATGAATATTTATCAACATATTCACCGATAATAATTGCATTCACTCACCAAAATATCTTGTCTCAAATAATTTGGCATCAAATTTCCTCTCCTTCTCAAGTCTCAAACATAGGTACTTCTTTTTTATTTGATTACCTATAAATGTTCAATTTTTTTTTTCTTTTATGTGCTTTGATTCTTGTTTTAATCTTGTAATATGTAACGAGTTGTCTTTCTAAACGTTAAAAATAAAATAAATATAACTAAGAAAATTGTTGAAATTGCAACTGTTGGGAGGATTTCTAGGCCATGAGGTGATTTTAAGTTTTTTTTTTAATGTAATATTTCATATTATAGACGTATAGGCCATTAATTGATATATTGTCAGTGATTGTTTTATGGTCGTATTTAATTTTTATATTAGTAAAATAAATTTATTATTATATTTTCTAATTTGTAATATTAGAGTAATGAACAACATTTGTTCATTCATAATCATAAATTATTTTTTCAATTGTTATTTAATTACCAAAAATTAAAGTTAAGTTGAAAATTAATGAATTGTTTTGTATTTTTGAATTGTAAACCACAGAATAATATTTGAAAAGAAAATTAAAATTTTTGCCCCTTACTACTAAAAAAGAAATAGACGGGCTACTTTTCGACTTTTTACGACTTATTTTAGGTTGTGAACAAGTTTGTAGAGGAGCATAACCATGATCTCACTACCCCTGGTAGAGTACATTTGTTGAGATCGTACATAACAGTGTTGGCAACAAAGAAGTCTCACAATATTTTTCAGAAGCCAATATGCAAACACGTCAACAGATGCAACTTATGGAGGTAAAATCGGGCGATCCTTCGTCGGTTGGATGTTTGGAGAAGATATGAAGAACTATGAAATGTATATATTAGTGGAACAAAGTAGTCACGATGTAGATTATTTGATTGAGCATTTTACGTTTGAGGAAGAAAAAGCCCGAACTTGTATTTTGACTATGAGACTAATTTGGATGGGAAGTTGGTTTGATTTTTTTAGGTTGATTCGGAGTCAAGAAGATCTTACGCATACTTCAACGATGTCATTGTGTTCGACACAATCTATAACACCAATAAGAACTTGATGATTTTTGCCCCTTTTGTTGGAGTGTACCACAATAGACAGAAAATTACTTTCGCTTATAGGTTATTGAGTGACGAAACAGTTGAATCATTTGTTTGGTTATTCTCGAAGTCCCTTGAAGCAATGCCAAATCATTCATCGTTGGGGTTATCATTACTAATCAAGATGCTGCAATTTCGAAAGCCATATCAATGACACTGCACATGTTATTGCATTGTTACTGTTTATGGCACATAATTAACAAGTTTTCGGTGAAGATCAATTCTATACAACTATAGATATCTGAGTTCGAGAATCGTTGGAATGGGGTAATGAAAACTATAAAACTAGACTGCAATGAATGGCTCAGTAGCATGTACGAGATACGTTTTTGTTGGGTTGATATGTGAAACATGTTTTGAGTGCAAGCATGTTTAGAAACCAAAGATCCTAGAGTGGCCACTCATTCATGAGGAAATACATCAATAGAATTCATTGATGGGTTTCATTACTCATTTCAACAGGGCGCTAGATCATCAACGACGTGAAAAGTTAGTTGATAACCACATCAATCTCACTAAACAACCAAGACTGACATTAGTTGGCATGATAGAACGCCAAATGGTCCAAATTTACACAAAAAAGATTTTCATGTTTTTTCAGAAGGAAGTTGAGCAGAGTAATTTTTTCATTTGGTCGAAGTGGTTGGATTATGTCGATGCTAAAGTGTTGGGGTGGAGCGATTTGGGTCGGGGAAGACTTTCGAATGTCAACGTGTACTTACCTATTTCACAAACTCAAATTTCATCTCATGCAATTGTGGGATGTTTGAATTTAAAGGTTATACGTGTTGACATGTGCTTAGCTATTTCAAGAAAAAATAAGTTTTTCTTTTACCGAAAAAATACATTCTACGAAGATGGACGAAGAATGCCAAGGTTGGGTAGGTTGATGAACCTATGGATGGTTCATCTGTTGATGATGGTTACGAGTAGTTACTGATGGGATAATATGGGTGTAGTCATACAAGGCTTCTTTGCAAGTCGGTAATGTTTCTTTAACAGATGCTCACAACACCTATTTGTTGGGCGAATTTAATAAGTTGTGTATCAACCTGAAAGAGATCGATAACGGAGGCAATGATGTCATGAAAAAGACTTGAAGCGAAAGTCTTGAAGAAAGTCAAGTTGCAGGTGATCCAAATATCGTTAATGTAAAAGAGTGCAAAAAGTGACTTAAATCGTTGGAGGAAAAAGCTATTTCTAGATATAGTAGATAATGCCGTTCATGTGGTGTTCATGGCCACAACAAACGAACATGCCCTGTAATTATTTAAATTTTCTTGTTTGTTACTAATATATTATGCAACTCGTCTAACATTATTTTCATTTTCTCAAATTGAATTTGTTAGATGAACCATATCATCCCTATTTCGATCACGAGCCAAACAATTTTAGAGAAGACGAGACACATACAAGAGTAATGCCAGTAGCAATTACAACGTCAAAACATGATTTTTTTTTTATCCGTAGTATCATTTCTATTTTCTAATAATAATTTTTTTTTATCCGTAATATTTGCTTTTTATGTTTGTCATTAACACTTGTAAACATATTTGTTAAATTGTGCAAAAATTGATAACGAATCAATGACATTGCAAAATCCTTAATACACGTACAATTTCACATATAAATGTTACCCGAGTTGGTAAAAGAATATTATAAATATTACATAGATCGATAAATATTAATTGTAAGAGTTGGAGTGGTTGAGAAGTTAAATTTATTGAAATAATTGGGATGGGATGGGTGGGGTATCGTCGGGGAAGCCCAACAACAACATAAAAGTGACGTTGGGATGTGGTGGGGGCGGGGGGGGGGGGGGGTTTTGGGGGGGGGGGGGGNGGGGGGGGGGGGGGGGGGGGGGGGGGGGGGGGGGGGGGGTCGTCCAAGCAAAAGCTTTTTTTAAAATTAAATGCACTGCTGATGTATGTAAAGTGTTCTATTGCCCACTAGGGATATGAGAACACTCCTAATGATTTGAAATGCATTACATATCTTTTTTTTTCTTTTTTAATTACCTCATAGGCTTCTTCAACCCTGCACTAAAATTTCAGGTAAGTTTTGCACCAAATTGAAAATCATATC